AAATGTAACACTTCCATCTAGTGTGGCTTCACCACTCTCCCCATAAGAAACGGCTGATTGTATGTGTGCACCTGTAGGCTACCCCAGTGGAAGCACATCAGAGTTTAATGTGTTATTTAATTACTGTCTCTGTTCTCCCAACAGGAGGACGATCTGGCTCCTAACCCAGATGACCCAGAAGACTTCCCGGCACTATCAGCAGGAAGATAACTCCATTCACATCTGTGTGTTTACCTCCTGTGGGGAATATTGGTTGCACTTGACACAAAAAAGGTTCATGTTTCTGCTGTTCTTACGGTTTTGGGGTTTTATTGTACTGGATTTATTTTGTTCTATTGCACCAAAGGCACTGTTCAGCATTTGACTCCTGGAGAATAAATGCTTTTGCAAGTTTAACTTGGAGCTGTGTTTTTTTTTTGGGTTTTTTTTAACGTAACTGAGACCATTTGAACAAACGTGTAGGAAATGTGAGAGTTTCGGTATACTGACCTGTGTTGACTTGTATTTGTAGCAACTGTACTTGGCAAAAGAGGATAGTGTCTTACTGTGACTAATGAAAACCAGTTGTTTAATTCTTCAAAGAACTATCCTTGTGCTATCACAGCTCAGCTTGATACTGTTACATTAGCCATATGGTGCAAAGACATAACAGCCGGAGAGTACATGGAGTACATTTTATTTAAAAAGTCTGATTCTATGTGCTTTAAGCAAATGTCTTCACTGGATTATGAACATGAGTTAAACAAGGCCCCATTAGGACCATTGGCTTATTTCATAGCATGATTAAAACATAGTACAAAATATTTAAAAAATACAAACTGAGTATATCAAATGTTGACATATTTACAGTCTTGAAATACAGTAGCTAAAAAGCTTCACAAGTAAATGACAGGACTAGAAGACGAGCCATACATTGAGAATGGAGGTACAAATGTGCACAGTACTGTATCTGGTGATGGAACTCTGGCTGATATAGACTTGACCTTTTAACTACATCCAAAGGCCTTGTACCACAGAGAACCAAGAGCAGGGTGTTAATCCAATACTCCTGGCTAAATCCATTACAAGGTTTTCAAACTGAATGTGAATCCCCATCTTATAACCTAGTATATCTGTTGCACAGTGATCATTTTGTAGTAAATGTGATTCACACACATGCCAGTTTGATGATTGCAGTTCTAGTCTGATGTTTGCTACTGCATGCTTCAATAAGTAGGAACAACCAGGCAACGATTAAAACTCAGATCAGTTTGTTTCATGATGCTGTTAAAAATATAAAAACCAAAGTGCCTTACGGGTAAAATAACTTGTAATCAAACAATCTATAATTGATGTCTATAATGATTTACATGTCACATCACAGTTAAAGTTTGTTCCCCCCCAAACTTAAAAAATCTACTGAAAGAGTAGTACAGCTCTATAGAAGTTGGATTTCATGTAAAATTCATCAGGATTTCCAGCTCCACAGGCTCACCGAAGCAGAGGAGCTCTAGCTTTGGGTATGGAGTGACTAGAGAAAACAAACACAATCAAAATTAAATCTCATTGATTTAAATTGCACCAGTTAATCAGTCAAAAAATGTCCATGCGTACAAATCAGACATGCCTGTAAGAAAGCTTCATTACAGAGAATTCCAAAAAAGTCAATTTGATATTTAAAATACAGTAACTTTAGCACAGAAAATGAAGAAGAGATAGATACCATAGCCTGGAAAATCGAACTGACTGCAAAGACTTGCGAGCTTTACGTCCACTGGAGACAGTGCGTCTGTTGCATGTGAGAAATATGAAAGAAGGAACGAGAAAGGATATGTAAAAAATTACAGATTAGCACAAATAAAAAGATGCAGACGTGGTTACAGAGTGGGCATGAGAGGCCAGAGGCAGAAGACACAGTGAGCAGAGTCCAGAGAAGCTATAGCCAATCATAGTCCGAAACCCCCCTGTTCTTAGAGAACATGCAAGGAAAGCTATAGACAGAAGCAGCAGGGAGACTGAAGTAAGTTTGATTTGGCAACCTGACACTGGTGCGTAAGCAGGGTCGGATTAACTAAATGTTAGTCCTGGATAATGTCAAGTTATATATAATGTTATATAACGTGTTAATCTGAGTAAAGAAGAAAGGTGGCTGGGTTGCACCATCATGGTTTAATTTAAGATTGCAGACAACCAGTTTAGTTACACTATATTAACTGTGTGGGACGATATGGATGTAAATGATAGTAAGAATAAAGCTTAAACTGACTTAAAACAAAAAAGTATTAAGCTGGAAAACTCTTGAACCATCTGTTAATTTTAGATTAAAAGTCTATTAATTTAGCTATATTTCGCATCTTTGACAAACATATCGTTGGTTTACTCTGCCAATATAAAGAGTAAACTAACTTCGACTTTTGTCAAAGGTTTCCGTGGTTTAGCAGGAAAGGACATTTGTCTTTGAAGCACTTCAGTGAATGAAAGCAGTTAAGTCTGATTCTTATCTTTCTTCAAGGAAATTAAATTTTTCTCCCAACTACCTAAAAAGACACTCCAGACCTGTTAAACATCTCAACTGTTGGATCGAAACGATTAAAAGTGATACAGATTGAATCTGGTTATTCCTAACTACATAAAACATCAGATCAAAAAGAATTTGTGGATAAACCACAATTTGATTTAGTTTAAGCGTTTAATCCTTGTTGATGCATCCCAGCCTAAGTACATTACGTGATTATGATACAACCATTAACAGGAGAAAGAGTGAGAGCGCTGAGCCTTTGGATTTTGACTGGATTTACACAGACACCAATTAAAAAGGTCTTTAACAAAGATCTGCTCATTCTAATGCTGCCCAAACTGAGGAAAAAACATTTAAATGGGACTTTTTCCCCCCTGTTTGGACAGCATAGACATCTTTTTATAGAAAACTGATCAGTCAAAACTGAATTTCTGTTTGTGTGCAAATGCAGCCCAAGTCTCCATATGGCACAGAGTGGGTCTGAGGGAGCTTGCCTGCAGGTGGACCTGTGCCATGTTTAAGTTGATGAGTGTGCCTGTGTTGGCTGTAGCACTGGCTGTGTCTCTATGGCTGCCACATGGCTCACAACACATTGGGTCTCTGTCGCCAGCCACTACATGCAAGTTGCCTAGGGACCTGACCAGTCTGGTGTGGCACAGGGAGCTGGCAGAGAGAAGGGAAGCTGTTAATTTACTCCACAAGGATCCGTGAGTGGCTATAGCCTCTTGGTTGCTTTTCACCTGTGTGCCAATTTCACTTACAAACAAAACCGAACTGAATGAATTACATATTGCATCAACATAGCACAGTCCTGGATAATGAAATAAATAGAAAAAATGTGCAATATTTTTTAAAAAAGGAAACACTTGTCCAAATTGAGGACTTTGGTAAATAATTCTGTTATACTGACTAAATCTTATCTCCTGGTCAGCTTAATAACATTTTCTGGGCACAACTGAGCAAACACCATTTATTGATAATCCAATAAGTGGACCTTGAGTTAGTGTTATCTTGTCAAAATGCTCTCCCAGTTCTAATGGTTATATTTTCTAATATAGAGAATGCTGTATTTAATTTAATCATTTGGAACCACAGTTTCTTGAGTAAACAGAGCAACAAGTGGATCAGATGTGGCATATGATCTTATTTCATTGTGAAAAAATAAATTATTTTTATAATTCTGCAAATTCTAAATCAAACATGTAATTTGCTTAATATAGTATGAGCTTCAGAGGAGGTTATATTAGACTTTTCCTATTTTCAATCAAAGCTGCTACAGATCTCGGAGATCAAATACTCGAGCCCAGTTTTATTTGCCTTTAAGCAGAGACACAAAAAAGGCATTTGATGTCTATATGGGTAGGTAAAATTGCCTTGCATTCCTTGTGCGGCTCTCCCAGATAATATATCTGGGCTATCATTGACTCAATGGGTGTCAAATCCAGCCACTGACCTTCCTCCCACTCCGCTGGCTGGCAGAGAGGTCCTGGTCCTCTTCCTGCTGTCTGAGTGTTCAGACAGAGCCAACGGGGTGACGCTGGCCTTACAGCCCTGAACACTGGCCTGCAGGATGACCGTGCTGCAGAGGAGACAAATGTCATTAATTAGTCTGAGCCATATTTAATGTCAGATCGTAGGTAAACGTGCTCGTGCGTACTAAAAACCTTACCTCAGGGACTGTGATGATGACCTGGTGTGAATCTTATTCTCTTCTTGTCTGTGAAAACACAAGTAACAATAGTAAAAATGTGATTGAACGTTATATATTGAGAGATCTGAGCAAAAAGATGACAGGAGGCATGAGGAGTGGAGGCAGAGACTATATGGAAATGGATATGCTGTTTTTTTAAAAATCTGATAGTGTTAGACTTGTGCACAGGTTGTTATTGCAGCTTCAGCAGCCAGGTAGGATTAGTAAAGCCAAGTAAGTACCACAAAAAGCCAGGAGGTGGCACTAGACCACTTAAAGAGGGACTTTTGCCTTTTCACAAAGTTAGCATATTCATCAGGAGGGCTTAACTGTCTGACAGGCTTTCATTTAACCTGTTTCCATTGCAGTCAACACAATAACCAGCAAAGCATGTTTACAGATGATAGGATGATGGGAACACAGGGACAAAATCATTATGTACACAAAATGGTGACAAGGACAAGGCACGAGCCTCTGATGTTTTAGATTTATTTTTTAAACTGGCTCTGCTCATCAGCCTTAAGTTTACTGTGCTTGCAGAAAGAATAAAGTAACAATAGGATGATTTGAACAAATTTCTTGATTTGGTTTGGGAATTAAAAAGAGACTGGGGTCTCACTTACAGCATTCTCAGTTAGAGCTCCAGGAGAGGGGGCAGGACTGGTTTTTTGGGGGCTGACGGGCGGTAGAACTCATTGAAATCCTAACCCGTCTATACAGAAATGCAGGATGGAAGAAGGGAAGCCATACACAATCCACCACAGGGCAAGGCTACACAGGGAGGAGAGCAGCATGGCTACCAGCCATCTGAAAGGAGGACAAATCCAACAACAAGAGCAAACGGAAAAAAAGGGGAAAAAAAGGAAGGAGAGACAAGAGACGTCCAGGCAGGACACAAAGCCTCTGATGTTCAGCTTTTCCACTGGGACTGGATTAGATGAAATACCTTTCATTGAGCCTTGTATCCAACAGTGCCAGACAGCTAGTTTTTGTTCTTCACTCGTGTTAGCAGATTGCTATATACTTAGAACCTGACCAATGTGGGCATTATGAAGTGTGTGTGTTTGTGTGTATTAAAAAACATAAAACTGATAATATACGGTCTGATATTTCATTTTTACACAGAGTGTTTGGTCGAGCTCACAAATGTCTAAAATGATAAAATCCTACAAATGTTGTGTCCATTATCAGATTTTGTTTGACGAAACATTTAAAAAGAAGCTGGCAGAGGCAGAAACCTGAAGGAGTAAACAAAGCTCAGATAGTATGTGTGCACTGATCCAGTCACAAAAGCAATGGAAAAACAACAGGCAATTGACAATGAGCCCGGCCCAACATTAAATACATGTTAGACACAAACATAGATCGAACATAGAGGCATGTCCATGCATGCATGTCCAAGGGTTTCATGCCTGTCGCCATGCATGAAAAAAGGCAGAAGATGAAGAAACGTTTTCATATAACCATCGTTCTAATCATCACTGGAATTCAACATGCACTTCGGTGTTACATAATAAAACAAACAGTGGAGCCAGATGGTGAAGTTCAGCTGAAAGTTAGATGTTTGTGTAGCAACGCATACACTGATAAGGCATATGGCCTGAAGTACAAGCAAATCTCCCTTCTGCCTCGACTCCCTCCTGAGAACGGATAAATACCCATTTTCATCCCGCTACCTCCTCAGACGCTCACATATGATGTTTTATATCCTTTTGTATTAGGATGAGGATCAGGAGGAATTTACCACCCAAACAATGCTGCTAATTAAACTCATAAAAAACACCTCAGTCAAAAGATCATTTTAAAACACAAAAATACTATTGACAATTTCCAAAAACACCTAAAGCTTAAAAGTGGTTGAGCAGGCAAGTTAGCTACTTTACCAAACAAAAAGGAAGTACCTACTTCAGATCAGAACGAGGACCAAGTTTCCCTTACTAACATTTGTTTCTACAGAAGTGCCGAGTCAGTTGTGCAAGCCAAGCACTAAAACATGTAATTCAACTAATCCAGATCTTATGTAAACCGTGATTAGTTGAATAATTGGTGCTGTTGTAAACAAGTACAGCGGGCTCAACTTGAGAGCTCCACTGTAACTCAGAGGATATCTCGGATAAGCCGCGATATCAAAGCAGAACAGCTCAGTGTGTCCATGAGAGGCAGATAATGAAAGGCGTGTAAATGTATTGCATCCACTAAGTGCATATCCACTTCACACCATAGTCATCCAGAGAAAGAAAGAAAGGGAAAAAAAAAGAACTTTAAGTCAGCCATACCATTCACTGGCATAGCAACCATTTCTACAGGAAGAGGATGTCAGCTAAAAAAGGAAGTGACGTGCACTTACCTCCATCATACAAAACCTCACATCCTCTCTCTGTTTTTCCTCTCCCCCACTCTCTCTCTGCCTCTCTCTGCTATCTTTTGAACGGCAGGCAACACATCGGCCACACCGTGCCCATGAGGTTGCAGCAGAACACTACCACCTGCCTGATATGGGACAACAAAAGCCAAAGCCATATGGGTATATTGGCAGCGGCCGGTCAACCATCCTCAGCCACACCGACACCCAACCTTCCACGGCTTGATTTACAAGGGCACGAATGAAGTGGACTTTATTTGGGGAACAACAGGGCAGCAGAGAGAGCTGGCCCGTCACTGGTTACAGTTGTCCAGCTGTACTCTTATGCTTGTTCCACACATAAATATATTAGAAACTATTGGAATTACTGAAATAACTTTGAAGAGCTTAATGACGTGTTTGCAACAATGTCACAATTACTTTTATTGGCTACTACATTTTTGGAATGTAATTTGTGGCACATTTCTCTCCCAGAGAAATAGAGACTTTGTCTATTTAATGTTTAACTGTTGATTTACATGCTCCCACATGTGGTGTCACTGAAGAATCAGTTCTGAGTTGCGGTGACTGTCCATTTGATAACCACCCCGTGGTCAGTTCAAGTTTAAATCAAGGTCAATTCTGTTTTTAATATTCTCCTGCCCCCACTAAAAGTCCTTAAACTGTAGCTAGCTGTGTGTTCCCCACTGTAATGCAATGAATGATTAGACCTAAAATCTTAACATTTTAAGTCTAATGGCCCACTGTTACATCATTTTCAAGTAATGGAGCTTTGATATGAAATACAATGGAAATTGTAGTCCTCAACAGTTTTCATAATAAAAAGTGCTGGTTAAAATGAGTTACCTCGACTATTAAGTGTATCTATTGTACAGTCTTCTATTGGCTAAATGTGTGGCCCAGTTACGTCAAGGAAACTGTGCAACGATAACCTAGTGATGTTGTTGTATGTTGTTTGGCCCATTTCCCTCAACTATGGAGGTTTACCTTTAAGCTTTTGACTTAAGAGGACAATTTACAGAATACCAAAGATGCAGTAAAACAGCCAGATTATATCTTTAACTTCCACATCTTTTGTGCCTTTCCAAATCCAGCCCACAACAAAACGTTTCTCTGGAAGATTGTGTATCAGATAACTCCAATCTAGCCCTCTAAATAACTTTATCCCTCACTCTGCGTCTTCATATTTCACCTGCTACTTCCCCGACTTATTGTTCATCCTCATCACTCACTGATTCTGCATGAAAATGGGATGACTTCTGTTACACTAGACGAGCATATGCTGAGATTTAATCAAAAGAACCTGAAGGACACAGAGAGTTATTGAAATCCTACAGACAGGGAGGAGGAGAGGGATCCTGCATGGTTCCTTAACTCACATAAATTATGACATTAGGATGAAATTGCCGTGATATGGGCAGCCCTATCAGAATAGCCATGCCTAAGACCTGACTACTACCCAGATTAAACACGGAAGAAAGGAAACAGCTCACCAAATGAAATGATTAATGTAATAAAAGAAAACCTACAAAAAGGTCACTTCTTGGTCATTATGAAATCCAACTTCTTCAAATCACAAGTTCCTTATGATTCGAAAAACATTACTGCACACGTGTAATGGCCCGAGGAACTGACAGAGAGGCATTGCTTATAGTACTACAACACGTCGGCGTGATGCATGATGAGACTTGCAGGCTGCCTGGGAACTTACGATAGTGAACCAGAGGACGATCGGGCCTGCCTCTTGCTCTTCAGGGCTCGCAGTTTATCTCCCTGTGTGAGGCCGTTTCTCTCCTCTTCATCATTATACTATAAAGGACAAACAAAAAGCAATGAAGAGACCAAGCGGTGAACGTGTGTGAATATTTTTCTGCTTGTGGAAGCATTTTTTAAAAGTCATGCAGCAGATTCTGAAAGCAAGAGCGTAATTTAACGACTCACCAGTTCCATTTCTTCTTTCTTGGATGCCCGGTTCTTGTTGCTCCCGTTGATGGTTATGTCATCCACCCCAGACAGGATCCTGGTCACGGCCATCTTGCCGTTCTCCCGCTCACTTAGCATCTTCTCCCGGAAAACATCTCCCTCTGCCCACAGACTGTTCTGCTTCCTGATTTGCCAAATTACAACGTACCACAAAATAAACAAATATTTCTTTCCAAACTGCCACCACCATTAGGATTTCTCAGCAGGATTTCTCCCTTAGATGAAAGTCCTATGATACAGAGGCACATTTTCTTAATAAGAATCTTACTATAATAGTAGATTTTCTTAAGAGTTTTGTTTATTTCACATTTGTTGTTTTTCAGGGCTAAGTTGAGAAAATGATGCAACACATTTCTGTTTACCAATCACAGTTTAGCGACACTTGAATTGAAATGTGATGACAGCTTTGGCTTGGATTGTTTATGCTGCCGGCAGCACTGTCAATCAAATCTGGTCAAACCACACCCATGCAGAAGCAGTTTGGCAGAGTTTCTGTCCCTTGATTCTTCATCTTGATTTACTGAACTTTAACTGTGACTGTTGCTTATTTAGTCGGGAATATTTTGTTTGATAGAGAAATATTTAAGATTTTAAATCAGTGACATTTTCAAAATCCTGCTTCAGCGAACACCTACTCTTCAACAAAGTTCTGCTGGGGCCCAATGATGGACCCTGGTCGGCAGATCCGGATCCAGGCAATGGCCTCTGCAGCAGTCAGATGGTAATGTTTCATCATATAGCAGGCGATCAGAGTGCCAGTCCTCCCCAGACCAGCTGAAAAGAAAAAGAAAAAATGCATTAAACTGTGCAATAAACTGGATACGGCGCTCAGTTTGACCCATCGACAACACTTGCAGTGTGAATGTGGGTTAGACATCTGACCTTTGCAGTGGACAGCAATGGCTCCTTCAGCATTCTCACATATGTTGAGGAACTTCCTGACAATGGAGTCATTTGGTGTGCTCCCATCCACAAAGAACAGATCGTGATGCTCAAACCCAGACTCTGTGAAACGCCTGGCATCATACATCTTCTTGTTGAGTCTGATGATAGCGGTGATGTTGTGTTTCCTGAAGTATGGGATATAGGCTTCAGGAGCATGCAATGGGTAACCTGAGATAAGGAAAAAAAACAACAACATTCTCGTGAGTTTAAGAGGTGGTAAAACTGGGTCAGAGGTATATCAGTAACTTAAGGTACATTTCCCTTACCATTCTCTATTTTACTTTTTGGATGAGGGCCACTAAAGGCAAGGAACTTTCCTGGAATGATCCAGTTCAAGTCTCCGTTTTCTGCTCGCTCATAGTGCTCGTATTCTTCCACGTCGAAGTTGGAGAAGTCGAGCCAGCCGTACTGCAGAGCCTGGTGGATGGTTGAGACGGAGTTAATTTCATTAGGGTCGTGACACAGCAAGAAAGAAAAATAAATAAAATCTTAAAATGGTGTACCTTGTGAACCGCACGAAGGCAATCTAGGATGTTCAGGTTGTACATGCAGGTTCCAAATGAAGCATCTCTGAAACATCAAATAAACTGTCTAAGTCTTTATCAGCACAACATACAAAGGATACTTTGTATTTCCCTTTAAATATTTCTCTAGCAAGGATACAAACTGCAATCTCACATATCCTGCTCTCAAATGCTACCAATCTCCTTCTCGCCTAATCTCTTTTTCTGCCTCATTTTATAGTCACAGTAATACTAACAGGGTACAAAGGTCTGGTGGTCTTTGAACCTTTTTCTAATCTTGGAGTTAAGCCTAATCAATAATGGTAAATAAATAACTTATTTGGTTTTTCATATCATTCTCTGCAATAATACTGTTACATAATTTGACGATCTATCTAGACAATTTTTGCTCCTCGTCATTTTTACAGTCTAAATATTACAGATCAGTATGTTAGGAGAATATTTATGACTCTGCAAAATCAAAATGTATTTAAAATGAGGCTACTCTGCGTTTTTTAACAGATAAACTAAATATATATATATATATATATATATATATAAATAAATAAAAATAATAGCAAATTGTTACCTGAATGGAATATATGTTGAATTCCTTGAAACCAGCAGACTGTAGGCCTCCTCTGGCATCATGTTTAGATTCATTACCTTTAAATGGCAAATGTCAAATGAGCAAGTGCCAGTTTTACACGATGATTACATGATGATATCATTTCACAAGCTAGAGGAAACAAACGTGTTTGTACACCACTTACTGCATACGAGCCGATCAGGTAGGCAGCATTGACCTGTTTCTTCTGATCTCCACAGGTATAAAATATGATCTTCTTCCTTGAGAGCGTAATGGACTGTGCAAGACAATTACAGCAACAGTATGAACTGACATGTGAGACCTTATTGATAAATGTGATTCATAAATATACTATATTAAATGCAGACATCGCAGCAACCTTCAGTGGCTAGACAAATACATAATGATATCGACTTAATAATGACTTGGTGCATTGGTGTTGGGGTGAATGCCAATTAAGAGAATTTGTAGACTAAACAGTTTGGGCAATCACCACATGAGACGGTAAAGTAGAAGAGCTGGAGAGAAGAAGTACCTACAAAGAGGAACAGAGCCGTCCCAAGTCGACATAAACAAGGAATATTCAGGACATACATTTAAATGACTGAAATTGGCGGGTATTTCTAAATGGTGTGCAAAAACTATAACCCTAAACTATTTTGCCTGCCCACTGCAGGTATAAATAGATATTGATTGACCTGGGTTTTGCCTTCCCATTTTCTCTTCTAGGAAGTGCAATTAAGAGCACTGGTATACTTTACCTTGAGCTTCTTTGTCAGCTTGCAACAGAAGCGATAAAACATGGCCAGGTTAAGGGGACCAAAGTCTGCATAGAAGCTGAGAGAGAGGGAGGGAGGGAGAAGAAGAAGAAAGAGTGTGTCAGTGGCTATTTATGCAACCAGCTACGGTCTCTGGGGAAGTTTCACTAGATAGAATTGGCTACTTCAGACTGAAACAGTAAAAACACTGACAGAGGAAAAACTATATTTGGAAACGTTTCATGATAGAGTGGGTCAGAAAAAGACAAAAAGCTGCAAAGACAAGAGGGCCTTTTTTTTGTACCACTGGCAGAAAAATGGTAATGAAAGGTCAGTCATGTCTTGTCCTGCAGCCAATCTAACAGCAGCCCATTGAAACAGTCATGCCCTCTGCTACAAGCACACACTCTGGCTGTGGAAAGGTGATTTTATCTGTGTTATTTCCCATCTGAATTTACTCCAACAGCAAAAAAGGGTATTTTCTACCAAAGGTGATGAGCTAAAAAAGGTTTTAATGGTTAAAAAAAAAGAAGACCCATCTTAGTATGTTGAGTAACTTTTGCAGTCAAAGCTAGATTAACTGTTTTTTGAATGAGTTATGTTTAAGCCTGCTCACACCACCGCTAATGGTGGAGAGGATAAATCCTTTAGATGACTGTAATGGTGACATATAGCCATTTAAAATGCAATAATGCACAGCAAAAGAAAAAAAAGAAATAAAAAAAATAAAAAGTCTGGAACAAAATGCTAAAGTGCAATAAGACTCATAACTTACTTCTCGTATGCCAGCTCTTCATCTATGCAGAAACAGTGCCGTTCAGCTGTGCTCTTGATCTTTTGCTTTAGTATGGCGAAATATAGTTGATCTGCAGGAGGGGGGAGGGAGGGGGTAGGGCGACAAAATAAAGGAGGCAGTTAGTTGCTTTTGTCATGCATGCATACATACTTCGGTTGTCTCCAATTTCTCCCAAATCAGCCCCATCTTTGTCCACAACAACTTATTTGATGTCCTTTCTAGCTCCTTACCCTTGATAAACTCAATGCATCTTGATGAAACATCGTCCGCGGTCATCTTGCCCACAGTTCTGAACATGACGTTTAGCAGAAAACGTACGGGGTTAAATTTCTTCAAGAGGACTTGCGCATACTGAGTAAAAATTACCCTGATAATGTGCGCGGAGATTTAAAAAAAAAAAAAAAGTTAAGTTAAAAGCGATAACTTAAAACTCATACGTTAAAAAAGAAAATCGATTTTGGGGCCTGATTTAGCTCTTCGACACAAGAAAGTTACCGAAGAGGAGGGAAGGAGAGTTTCGTGTGCAAGTGCGCACTCTGCTAAAAATGATCTCGTTCTGGCTCCGCCCCTCCGCTGGCCCGCGGGAGGCCATTGGCTGCGACAGGCGCAGGCCGCCGCATGATTGGAGGAAGAGCCCGTCAGTCAGACTCTTCCCCGCCCACTTCAGTTTAAAGTTCTCTAAGTGAGACACATGATAGGCCCCGGGAACGTTGCCCAAGCGGTTGCTAGGACGATCCTCCGACCAATCAGATTCCCGATTTCCACTTCGACGAACCGCCCTCTTTCAGATTTGAGCTGCGCAAGGATGCAAAGGAAGAACCAGGAAAAAACGCCATAAAATATACAAAAATGAACAGTGGACGAGACTGACAGTGGGCTGAGTGGGATATTTAAGACATGAACACACACCTCAGTCTCTCTTGACACGTTTATAACTCACACACAGTAAATACAACATGGTGGTTCTGGTGTAAATGTATTGGTGTAAAATATACCAGAGCAAAACTGAATTGCTAATATTGTGCAATTTGTTCCAACAGACTGCGCAGGTAAGTCGACGCAAACCCACTGCATTAACAATAAAGGGACAGACGGTGTCGCCATATTAGGTCAAAAGCTGGAAAAAAAAAAAAAAATCAAAGACTTAAACACACCCTGGTCATTTGAAAGACAGTGCTGTGCATGCGCAGTCATGTGTGTGCGTATTGCACATATTTGCCAACTAGGCTTAAAGTTGACCGGGTTCATTCCGCAGACCCTCACCTACCTGTTATCTCAACGTAAACATCAGAGTTTGGCGCCGCCTCTGAGCTGTTGTGAGCTGCACAGCGCTTTTTCCTCGACTCGGCTCGTCTCCTCTCGCTCTTGCGCTTCATTTTCCCTTCAGGGCTGCACGGTGGGCATTCCCGGGCAGCCGCAGCAGACCTCCACGTCGCAGTGCGGGGCGGCTTGTACCCCCCCACCCCTGTTTGTCCTCTCGCTGCGTTATTATGGCATGTCTTGCTCCTTGCGCTGCTGTGTGTTGTGTCAGTCGAGGTACGGGTTTGCCTGCTCCAGCCTCTCTCTGGTGGTGCTGACGTCTGTGAGCAGGGGCAGGTTTTTCTCCTTTCTGAATCCCCTGCATGTGACGTATCAGGATTAGATGTCCAGTGCCCACCCTTCACTGTTCAATCGCTGCAGCTGTGAGGCCAATACAGATAGCATGTTTGGCATGTAGGAGTCCAATGTGTGCTGAAGGGATCCCGTCTGGGTATGACTGTGCTGTGTGACCATGAGTGTATGTGGGGAGCATGACACAAAACAAAATGCAGGCAAGAAATAGCAATTCAACTTTATTTATACTATAATAAACAGCGTGGATAGGAGGATGCAAAATAAGACTTTAAGCTCAGTGCATCAGTTAAGTGTTCAACCACACAACCATGTTACTAGTATGGAAGCAGATTTACACAACGTAAGACTTAGTAGCCTAATATAGATAGAAAAGGTAGAAAATTAAACAAAAACAGCACATTCATACTCCTCTTACACACACATCACTAATGTTTTCAGATCCAAAATGTTAACTCAAAGAACTTACACGCCTTCTCTTTCTAATTATTTTTTTTTTTACACCCCATGGTCTTCATTTTAACTTCATTAGCCCCATGAGATGTGCTTGGAAGCTCTGGAAAAAGCTAGTAAGAAGCCCTTGAGTTAAGATTCAAAATACCGTTTTCACAGTCAGTTAACTCTCACACTCAACATAGACTGCGTGTTTCAGATCTATTCAAGGTTTTTGGCAAGACAGTCAAGTCTCTGCCCAGTACAGAAATGATAAACAATAGATCCAGAAATACTTGGGACACAAATATGAACAGATGTATAAACAAGTGTTCAAACAAATCTACGAACTTGTGTGCATATGTGATAATAACAGCAATGTGGGGGCGAAGCACACATTCAGGCGACCAGCTGGCTACACATGGATGATCTTTGGTTTATCGCTGAAGTCCAGAGTCTGTTGAACTCCAGCGAGCTGCAGGAGCCAGTTAATGGGCATGTGGTCCAGGCGGTTCGAGTCAAAATGGGAAAAATGAACCTGAGAGCCTGCGTGAGGGAGAAAAAAAAGACAAAGACGGATGCAGAGAGAGAAATTATGATAGAGCATGTTGAGAGAGAGAGAGAGAGAGAGAGAGAGGGAAGCTTACCTGGCCCTGCAATGATGGCTCCACCCTGCTGATGTAGGTCACCCTGGAAGTCAAATGCAGGGCTGGTCATGGCCCTCCATATACTCTTCATTTGTCCCATAAACATACCAGACTTCACGTGGGGACTAGGGTGAGCTATGTACATAATCATACACACAAATACAATTCTTCATTAATTTCCATATCAGAATATGCTGGGTTTGTACCGTCATATTATTACTGCACTACCTGAGTCTGTATATTTCTCCTCCCTCTTCATCCCAAGCTTTTGATAAATGCACCTCTCCGGGTCCACATACATTTCGTAGGGATACGCCGTCAGCGAGCAGAACGGCTGGACGAGATTGAAAACTAAATCAGCATGACAGAAAAGACTGAAATTATGCATAAGAATAAAAAAAAAAAAAAATTACCTCTATGTGATGATGAGCAGACTGACCAATCACAACCAGTCTAATGTCAGCATCCTGCAGCAACACACAGCAAAGTTAGGATTTTCCAAAAGCTGTCATTTAGACTCACACATACCCAAACCCATAAGCTATTACTTATGATTTGCATGTCAATTTGCAGTGGTGGAAGAAGTATTCATACACTTTATTTAAGTAATACCGCACTGCACTTAAATACAGTACTTGAGTAAACTTAGTTACATCCAACCACTGCAAATATGCAACTATGCTTCTTCTTGAACCTCCAGTGCATTCATAGTCGTGGATCAGGACTTACCTCCAGGGCTTCTTCAGGTATTTTGCTCAAATCTTCCACATACTCTTTACAGCTGTAGCACAGGAAGTTCTGCAGGTATACACACAGACACAGACAATATCGTTAATAGGCTAGGAATATGAGATATTGCATTATTCCAAAACTCTCATCTTGCACCTATATAACGTTTAACCCTCTGTCTTCACCTATGGACATGATCTCTCCATTCTTCCATTTGGAGCAGCTGTTGGGGGCATCTGTCCATCAAGGCTGAAGCTCACCTGTTGCCTACTTTGATGCCTTCAACAGAAATCATCTTTCGAGGCTCAATCTACTTAACCTGAGCCTCTCGGGATTTTACGAACTTCAGGCAGGATGGCCTGTGATTCATCAGCAAGGTTAAGCCAAAAAAAGTGTTCCCCTACCCGCACGAAAATTATGACCGATTTCCTGTCTTGATATAATTTCTTGAACGGAATAGAGACTCCATGGCGGTCGTAAATTAAACAATCCTCGACGTCTTCAAGGCGAATATCGACAGAAGTTCCTCCGAGGTCCCGGTTTTCTTTACTGACTTGTCGAGTTATTGGTGAAACTACTTCAGCCATTTTTTCGGAAGCTTCCTGAAGTCTCACAGCTATTTTGGGAGTTTGAGTTCAGGGTGGAGGAACTGGTGGCTGGAAATTCACGCCCATATTGCTGAGTGTGTGTGTGTGTGTGAAGAGAGGAGAGGAGAGAGAAGGAGAGACGAGAGAGAGAGAGAGATGGCATATATAAAAATGTCACTTTCATTGTATTACAATAGCAATAATAGTGATACAAATATCATTGGCACATTTTGTGATCGCTGAGGAAATAGACTGTGGGTTGCATGGGTATGCCATTGGGTTCGAGTGCTGAACCATTGGAGGGATAATCAAGTGATTGTGTCATTTGCATAAAGTTGGGGAGCTGACAGAAGAAGAAACAGATCGAAAAAAGAGGTCAAAATCGAAAAAGCAGACGCTGATCTGTGTCCAGCTGGAACAAAAACAGTCATCTTTTGTATTGTATCAAAGTGTTGGTCTGGTCCTTTGAACATAAATGAATTAATAAAACTACCAATTCTGGTAATCCTTCATACAAAATGGACATGTAACTTCTCTGTCTGGCTGAACAAAAGAGATTCAGCTCAGGAAATGTGTAGCCCAAAAGAAAATCTTCTTTAGTCGTATTGTGCTGCAGATTTACTAATTTCTCATCCAAGTAGGATAGAGGACTAAGATGCTTTGGTCAACAGGGCCAGATTTACCCACTAGAGCGCCTCAGATCAGTTTTGAGCTGTGGGTCACCATTAAACCCCCACTTTCTTTCACTCTCTCTACTGCAATAATGCGTCCTGTAGCCTTTAAGTACACATCAGGTACTGAGCACATGCACTACACAATGCAGCTTTATCAGGTTCAAAGCCACAAGAACCAATCAGTAGGTCGACTAAACCTGCTGCTGGAATACTACTCTGTGTCAAGGTCGATGAGTTTCTTCCTGGTAGTTTGATTAATTTTATTTAATCAATTGTATTGCATATACATATATAACATAACATCAACTGAAATAATAAAG